CTTATAAAAAAGGGGCCATTTAGTTCCCTCCACATTCCAGACATTACGTATCAAGAATATTGATATTCAGAGACTACAAAAGCATCTGAATGCTTTTACCCAATTCACTTTAAAAATGCTATTAAGCACAGATATCTTTACTCACATTACAATAGTCTAAAAATAGAAAAGTTATTCCACAAAATGACAGCTCTTTGCCAGCTGCATACTAATACAGCAATGTGGAAAGAAATGCATACAATCAGGAAAAAGTGATGCTGGTTTATGCATTATTTGACAGCTAGCAAAGCTTAGAAGCGTAATCCAAATCTATATAGAAGAGGAAAAAAAAGAAAACCCATGCAAATTTGAGCAGAAGCATACAGTGCTCAATTGAGCCTGGGGGCATCATCATCCCCACTCGCCCCCGCCCTTAAATTTTTTGTTCCATGATGGCATTAAAAACTGAAGCCAACCACATTTATTGGGATTTTTAAAATTGCTAATAAAAAGCAAAACAAAATAAATCCCTTTCAAGTCAAATAAACTATATCCTTAAGCCTCTTATAGATTAATTCAGAATGTAGTAAGTACATCAATGTCACTGATTTACTGTTTAAGGGCACTATTCTCACTTCATACTTAGGAGGAATGTTTCCTTTATAGATGCCAAAGCAATTTAAGAAATTTGGACAAATCTCATTCTCAATTTACAGGTGAGAAAACTGAGGCAGAAAACAAGTTCACAAAGCAAAAAGACTGATTTCAAGTCTCTCCTTCCTTTATCAGCAAGTGTTAACAGAAATAAATGTCAGCTGTATGTGATTACATGGTGAAGCAGCCCGAGGAGGGTGGTTACCGTTCACTATTACCGACCCGGAAGATTGAATGGTGCCCCAGTGCTGGACAATGCGAACTGGGCAAACAACGGTTTCACATCCAAGGAGGCACAACAGGCACAAGAAAAAAAAAAATGTTGCATGCCATTGTGCAGCACACACTTCTCTTCTCTATTTGGTTATTAGGAGGCAAAGTTTGCCAGTAATTATTTCTGTTACTTAAGACTAGGAAGAATTAAGATGAAACCTCAAGGATCTAAAAATTATAACAAGAGAATCCAACTCCATCTATTAAACAAAGGAAAGAAAGTTTTGCACATCCCTGGAAGGAGTTGGACTCAATCTACTGAGCTCCCTTCCGACCCGAAAAGATCTATGAACTCTACGAACTCGGAGCGTTACCTGCCGACAGAAAAGCGATTCTTCCCCGTCTGAGGCAGTGAGACACAGGGATGCATGAAAGTTTAGAAGAGCAAAAGTACAGACAATGGTGACAGATGAGCCAAATATACCGTGGGTCATTCAGAACAGCCAGTTTGAAACCAGGTGGTAGGTAGAGAGTGAGCACTGATGAGCTGAATGGCATTTATTATTCCTCCCCAAAAAACTTTCTAGTGTTTAATTCAATGACAGGAATAAGATCTAATTGCACGGTAATAGAGTAACACTTCAGGTTTCAAAAGAAGTCTTTTGTGCGGGCTCTAAACAAGGGATTTCTTATGGTCAGAAACCAGATTATCACCACTGCTCTCCCACTAATTCTACTCCACTTTCAAGGTTGCTGCCAGCCAGCTAAATGTCAGATCACTGCATACAAACATTCCCTCACAGAGCTGCATCCATTGCCCTGGTGACTAAGCTCTTTCAACAGCTGTGTTATTGCTGGAGACTGGCCAATGTTATTCACACAGAGCATTTGTTTCATACAGCTTGTGTGAATGAGAGACTTTTTTGCATGTAGATAAGGCTGGAGCTCCATTTGCAGATATTATACCTTCTTGATCACAGTTGTATCACGGGTCTCATTCTCAAACTGAAGACATTTTTAACCACTTGGACAGGTCTAAGATTTCTCCTTTTGCCAGATATGGGCCAAACTGAAAAAGCATCTATTGGATTAAAAAAAACCCCAAAAAACTGATAGTCTGGCTAGACCCAGAAAGTCATCTTCAGAGACAAAGACAGATCTGAAATGGCTTTTCCAGTGGGACAACAGACTGATGGGAGGGAAAGTAGTTTTATTTTAACTGCCTGAATCCTAATTACCAAGTTTTTCAAAGTGAATGTAATAAAAACCTTCCTTTCTCCTGAAGTGTAGAAATATCATTCAACATTTCTGATGGTGTAATTCAAGGCTACCCTGGTAATGCCGCCTGGAGTAAAATAAACTATCTTGCGGTCCATCTGAGGCGCTCCGACAGGCTTGGCATTTAGAACGAGCCACCGGAAAATCCTTGCTCAGTTGATGACCAAGTGTTGAAGTTGTAGAAGTGACATACACGCCTGAGTTTTGGCTTTCCACGCACCTGGTGATGCATAGTAGTGCTCTGCTTATGTGCCAATTAAACTGTGGTAAGACTATGACTCTTTGCTTCATGGCTCAAGCAGTAAATTTTAGAAGTGAAACTGGTCAGTTGAAGAGTCTGCGTCAAACTTCACATGAGTCAGTGCAACCATTTCAATGTCGCCAGAGCTCCCCACCACCACCATAAAAATACCCCATCCACAACCCATCTGGGAACTCTAATGTCACAGTCTGAACATAAATCACCTTAGCTGAAAAAGCCACAGAGGGAGTTGTGATGAAAACACATTTTGTTGCACTGGACTTTAGCTCTGTTCTAGATCTGGCTTAGCGATCCTTACAAAAGAGGATCCGGATTTTGTAGCACAAGATCTGGACAAACAATGCTTGCTGCAAAAAGTCAAGTATTTGCAGCAACACCATTCTTCTCATCTTTCATTGTGCCAAAAGGTTTCAGTACCCAATGAAAAAATGAATTTATAAGCACAAAGAATGTGTCAGAGAAATTAATAGCTCTTTGCTTAGAACAGGTCTCCAACCTTTTTGGGTAGATCACTTTTTGAATTAAAAAGCAACCCAAGACTTACCCTGCACCGCCCCCACCCCCCCACAGGTCAGTCTGTGGGCAGGAAGGTGGGGGCAGATCAAGAAAAAATTGCGGGGCTCAGCGCCCCCAGCAAGTAAGTCTGTAAATCTGTGGGGGAGGGGGCAGATTGAGGCCCCAGCTGTGAGAGAGGGAGCAGGGCAGAGGCAGGAGCAGGGTCTGGGGGGAGTGGGCCTGGCTGGGCTGGGTAGTGGGAAAAGTGGAGCCCTGCAGGCCTCTGCTTGTCCCCCACTGCCCCCAGCCTCTGCTCCTACCTGTGCCCTGCTCTCTCCCTCACAGCTGGGGCCTCAATCTGCCCTCCCCCATGGCAGTGAGTGAGGGAGTGGAGCAGGAGTAGGCCCTGCATGGGTGGGGTGGGAGCAGGATGGAGCCACAAGTGGCTCATCCAAGGGGTGCAAGGAGAGGAGGGGGCACACAGCCTGGAAGGGCACGGTGTGGGGGCACATGCCCCTGGATCTGCACACAGGCTGGAGCACTGCTAGGCTCTTTGGCCACATGGCTCTTGGCCTGGGTGGCAGCAGTGGCAGTGGGACTATGGCAAATTTGTGGGTGCCTGCAGCCGCACTCCAAGTGCCAACACCACCCGGCCCAAGAGCTGCACCGGGCGGAAAGAAAGCTTAAGCTGGTGGCTCCTGCCCCAGTGTGTGGGGCTCCTGCTCCAGTTTCCAACTGCCTTCCACCCACACCGACTGCCCATAGGGCAGGCAGAGTGGATGGAAGGAAGCTGGGAGTTAGAGCTGAAGCTGGTGCATCATGTACTAGGGCAAGAGCCGCCTGACTGAAGCTTTCTCCCAGCCCAGAGCGGTACAGCAGGAGAAGGCGAGGAGCCTCCACAGCTGGAGGTCAGGGGACCTGAGCAACCCTGGGAGTTGCAGTGGGAGCAACCCTGCCAGTAAGCCGCATGTACTGGTTGGGCCCGGGCTGGCAGGCGTGGACTAGAGTGTGGTGCAGGCTGCCCCAGGTGGGGTTTGGCACCATGCAGAGTGCTGTGGGGGCAGCCACACAGCACCGCCTGGACAAGCTCTGCTGCACACACCCTCTGCCCCCTCCCCTCTCCCTGGCCAGCTCCTGGGACCTAGCACCCAGGCAGCCTCCCCCGTCCCCAACAGTGGCCACCCTATGACCCTGCGATCCTAGCCTCGTCCACCTGTCTTGCTCCTGAACACCACTCTCCCCTTCTCACCCCATAGCCCCAT